CTCCTCCCTCCTCCTTCTCCTCTTCCTCCTCTCCCTCCTCCCCCTCCTCCTCCTCCTCCTCCCTCCTCCACCTCCCTCCTCCCCTCCTCCACTTCCTCCTCCTCGTCGTCCTTCTCCTCCTCCTCCTCCTCCTCCTCCTCGTCCTCCTCGTCCTCCTCCTCGTCCTCCTCCTCCTCCCCTTCCTCTTACCTTCTTCTCCTCCCCCTCCTTCTCCACCTCCTCCTCCTCCTCCTCCTCCTCCTCCTCCTCCTCCTCCTCCTCCTCGGGTCGCCTACGGCCCCGGCGGAAACCGTGCAGGCTCGGTCTCCGACGTCGCGGGTCGTCGCGGGTCGTCGTCGTCGTCGTCGTCGTCGGCGGCGGCGTCGGCGTCGGCGTCGTCGTCGTCGTCGTCGTCGTCGTCCGCGGCGGCGGCGTCGGCGTCGGCGTTGGCGTTGGCGTCGGCGTCGTCCTCGTCGTTTCGTCGTCGTCGTCGTCCCGACAAGGGCGCCCTCGAGGGCACGATGTGATTCGCGCTTCGCGGTTCCACTCCGATTCCTGCTCATCCTCCTCTTCTCCCCTGGGGGGCGCCCTCGAGGTTTGTCGTGCTCTTCGTGTCTGTTCTTCGTGCTTGTGCTTCGTGCTCGTGGGATGCTCTTGTGCATCCTGGGGGAGAATACCCTCGAATATTCTGCAGTGTGGCTGGCGGAAGGTGCGAGGGACATCCTGGAACTTGCTGGACGGGCGCCAATCGCCAAGGGCGCCCTAGAGGGCGCGAAGTGATTCGCGCTTCCCGCTTCGCGATTCGACTTCGATTTCTCATCCTTCTCTTTACCTTTGGCGGGCGGCGCGAGAGCGCGAAGGTGTTCGCGTTCTCGCGCTTTGCGCAGCGCGAAGCGCGAGGTCAGGCGCCCTTGGGAGAGCTTTTTATCAGGCTGGACCGGGGCTTGGGGGGACCAAAATGGGTACGGAAATAATGTGTACAAAGTCCAACACCAGTTTCCAGTTAGTCTGAACAGGATTCGCAGTCAGCGTCGCCGCGGGCGTTGTCTCTCTGAGTCAGAAGGCCGCCTGCCTAACAGAGGCCGCTGTCGGTTTTGGACAATATTTTGAGTATCCATTTCGGACGTCCAAAGAGAATCGGCATAAGAGAGTTTTTCTCGGTCAGACCGAAGTATAAGACCGAGGTCGATTCGGGGAGGGTACCCTAGTGATCTTCGTGCTTGTTGGATGTGCCTGTGCATCTTGGGGAAGGGCACCCTTGCTGTTCCTGTGGTTCGGAGTGTTTTGACCAGTGGAGGGTCTCATGCTTTTGAAGGGCGTTCTTCTGTCAGTGGTCCGGCCGCATTCCCGGGGGATGACCTCGGAATCGCTCGGACGTGTGCATGTGTCTTCGGCGAGGGACATCGGGGAGCATCCCAGGTCATCTTCCGAAGAGGAGATTGAACAATGCACGTGGGAATGGACGTCCGAGCGCTGGCGAGCAATTCGGGGGAGGAAAAGGTACCGATACCGCTGCCCTTCCTTCGTTTTCGCCATGCTTGGCCTTCTGAGAGGCCCTCGTCGTCACCGCTGGAATCGCTTGGAAATTTTGGTCAGAACGCCACCTGGGAGAGGTCCGGGGAGCAGCGGGGCGCAGGAGTGTTTTTATTCCCAGGTGGTGAGAGCTTGTTTCCTGTAGAACCAGGCAAGTTTACGTGCATGGCGTTCGCCCTCCCCCCCCCCTCTCCCCTCGCTCCTCTTCAATCGAATGCGAGCGTGCAAGTGCCTTTCGACTTGCGTGATTTCCGCACGTCAAGCTGTTTTCGGCTTGCTTCAGGCACAGGCCACCCCCCGTCCATGCAAATAAACTTGCATGGATTGGGCCTTACCGGGGAGGGAAGCGGGGGAGCCGGCTCGTCACGTTGCGCGCCGGCGCCGTCTGGGAATGTTTTGAGGAGTAGCCAGTAAGGAGCGAAAGAAGGACGTACATGTACATGAATCCACGCTGGTTTCGAGAGTGCGCATTGCGCGAATGTTCGTATCGCGCGGCAGGTCTCGCGGGTCAAGGGGCCGTGTTCATGCACATAGCTGGGCGCGTACGTCCTTTGTGTGCTCCCTAACCAGAGAAAGCCAATTCGGAGGTCATCATGAATCGTGACGTTACCATTAAGTCTGGCGTGCCCCTCTACAGGAGGAATATTCAAAAATAGTAAAAGATAATCAGGGGACGATTTTCCGATTCTGTATTCCCATATTTTTGAGCACTGGTCTGGCATTTTATTTTCCGTCCAAATTCCGCCTGTGCGGGAAATGCCCGACCTAAGGTTTACTAGGGGGGAGGATTGGGGGCGGCTGGGGCCAGTAACGGCTGTTATCGTCGGGGACGCACGGACTCGGGTCAATGCAATCCCAGGTCAGTCGGGCTTTGCAGGAATCTGCAAGATTTTGCAAGACCCTACAAGATCCTGAAGGATCTTGTACCGAAAAGCCCGGGTCAATGCACCCTTGGCGCTGCAGGATCCTGCAAGATCCGGCGCTCTGACTGAGTCCCGTTTGCATTAACCCCCGATGCCGCGAAAAATAAGAAACCGCTCTCCGAAGGCGGGGAAATGTCGAGCTGGCATCGGCGACGCGTCGCCGATAGATCGACGATAGGCCATCGATTGCGAGTTTGGATTTGTCGGGGGGGGAGAAACACAGACACAACAGTCGTCGATCCCACTGAAAATATGGGACTATATGCAAAGTGGGGGGGAAGACGAAAACCAAGAAAATGTCGGAAACTGTGGGGCCCTTTAACATCGGCGATCGGCCATCGACAGTGTTGCGGCGAAGGCGATCGACAGTATCGGGCTTCGGGGGTTCGATACGTTCCCCCAACCTTCCCAGTACCGCTGCATCTGAGGACCATGGTAAGAGGGATACTACCACACTCTTTCGGCTACCTTCTTAATCCTACGGTTTTTGAGAAAAAACGCGCCCCGCGGCGGGCCAGCTTTTGGCCAATCCGAATCTCAAACTTGGCCTGCATCTGCCCCATCTGGGTCCGAAACTGGGCCTGCATCTGGCCCATTTAGGCCCGAAGCTGGGCCTGCATCTGGCCCATTTGGGCCCGAAGCTGGGCCTGCATCTGGCCCATTTGGGCCCGAAACTGGGCCTGCATCTGGCCCATTTGGGCCCGAAGCTGGGCCTGCATCTGGCCCATCTGGGGCCCATTATTGACATGCACTTGGCACTCTTGGGCTAAAAGCGGCCTCTTGATATTCTACATATGGCCACATCGGGTCGAGCGGATTTCTTGTTTCACTGGGAAGTTTGTTTCTTCCTGAATCAGATGCTTCGGTTTCGTATCATCGGAATAGTTGAAGTTCTCATCCCCGTCCCTCTTCCGTCCTCCGCCATGTGCTTGTGCTTACGCAGCCGTTTGAGCCTCGGGTTTGGCTTGTTGGCTTCACCGTTTGATTGCATGGATTTGCTTGACATGTTGTCAGACACTTCAGAGGAGGATTGGCCTCGTCTTCCACTGGTTCCACCACCTGCGCCCGGTGCTGCGGTATCTGTTCATGATGCCGGGGGGCGCAGGGACATATTAATGGTCATGGACATGGACAGGGCACGCTTTCAAATTGTTGACCGTGCACCTTCGGCAAGGGTTTGCAAGACTGGCTGTTTCGGCAAAGGTGCGCACGAGTCTCGATTGGAAAAAAAGATAAGTTGATGCACTACGCTCGGGAAGTGAAGGCGCGGAACGCAGCTGCCAGGCAGAAACAGATCTGTTTGGAGGAGTTGACCGCCTCCGACACTTGCCTGAAGCCCCGCCTGAAACGATGGGCCTTCGCATCGGTCGCGAAGCATTTCAAGTAGGCCAAGTGTCACAACAGACGCTTTCGACTCGTGACTCGGCGAAGTCAGAAGCAGAAAGAAGGGCACGAACCGCGTGAGCCGACTCTTCACCATGGACGCCGTGCTCGAGGTTGGATACGACCACGGGAGCCGCCCAGATGTCGTGGCTGCGCTGCGCGGAATCGGAGTACCCTGGGTGAGAATGGTGCGGCAAGTTACGGCCGCAGCTGACCTGCGCCGTGAGAATTGCTGCCTGGGGCAACTAGTCAAAGTTGCTGCGCGTCAGAAGCCCGCGTTCGTAATCACCAGGCTCGCTTTCGACGAGACTGGCGAGAAGATGATTCTTCCTGCGCCCGGGTCAGACACCTCACGCAACGTCTGGCACATATGTGTGGCGAGGCTCTCTGTCCACGTCGGATGGATCGGCGCGGCTGCAGGGGGCATCGCCGCCAAGCACGACTCGGCCCTGCCAAACTTGATCTTCGCGGCCTCCAATGCCCCACAAATCTTCGCGAACCTGTTTGGCCGCGAAGCTTGCGCGACCGTGTTTGCAGCGCTGGACCTACTACGCTCGCACGCCGACCACGCCATTTTCCATGATGGAGGTCGACGGGGCCGTGCCAAACGAGGTGGCCTGGGCGCACTTAGTCGACCTGAACAGCGCCAAGTCCGCGCTCGATTGCCAGTGATACGGGCGACCTTCAAAGGAGGAGGAGTCTGGACCTACTACGCTCGCACGCCGACCACGCCATTTTCCATGATGGAGGTCGACGGGGCCGTGCCAAACGAGGTGGCCCGGGCGCACTTAGTCGACCTGAACAGCGCCAAGTCCGCGCTTGATTGCCAGTGATACGGGCGACCTTCAAAGGAGGAGGAGGAGGAGGAGGGCGAGGAGGGGGAGGAAGGGGGGGGGCAGGAGGGCGACGAGGACGAGAAGAAGGAGGAGGAGGAGGAGGAGAAGGACTGCGTCTTCAGGCCTCAAATGCCCAGAGCCCCCCCCCCCCCTGCCACGCAGGGAATGCTTGGAGGTAATGGGGGCGGCCATGGGTCATTCGTTGGTCATCGGGGAGGAAGGGGCTCATATTGTTCCTTGACTCGGCGTTGGAGGGGCGGCAGTTCGCTTGTCAGCCCAAGCCCAACGGGTTCGCATGTCGGCTTCGCGGTTGCAGCCTGATTGAATGCAGTCTTCTCGCGGCGAGGTCTAACAAGGTCCTCGCCCGGTTGTGCGGTCGTGGCCTGCTGCGTGCCAAGTCCTCGTTCTTTGCGAAATTGGTCAAGCAGCTGGGCGCTCTGATGGCGACGACCGGCCATCTCGTCATAAGCGAGTTCGGCGACTTGGATCCTGCTCTGGCTGCTGGCGCCAAAGAGTACGCGTTCGACATCATCAACTTCATTGTTAGCCACTCCTACTGCAAGGCTTCGACGAACACCTCATCGAAGGCGGCGACAGGGGACGACGCTAATGCATTGGAGGTGGTTGACTTCGACATCGAAGAGTTCTGCAACAACCCCTCCGGCCTCGACAGCGTGAGGACTTGACATTTCAAACTGGCCCACCCACTTGCAACCCAAATTGCTAGACCCGGGGGGCCCTGTGGGTTAGGCCAGTTTGGTTTGAGGACGGACCAGCTTGGGGTGTCCTCAGTCCACCGGCGCTCTGGTCTTCGAACATGCTCATCTAACTTGCTGACCCTCGCGGCCGTCTGCAACGGGCCTGGGGCAGGTCGGCTGTGCGCCACTCCTGCAGCGGGCCTACGCGCCGCTTATCTCGGGGGCACACGGTGGGGAAGAAGCAGAGGCCATTCGGAAGGCAGTGTTCACCCAGGCGCCGAAGCCGCCTACCGCGAACAAGCGGCTGAAGCTCGCATTCGCGGTCGACACCTTGACTTTGGGTGTCTTAGAGCATGGTATCTGGCCACGCGTGTATTCTGTTCTCCAAGTTCGGGATTCCGCTAGTACGCCCAACAAGGACACCGACATGGACCGCCAGCTCATCAACGATCTGTGGTTTTCGGAGGTCACATCAGCGCGGTTCAAGAAGGCCGAGGAATTTCCGTTTGACGTCGAGGCCCCGAAGCGCCCGGTCATTCTCGGCATAGCGTTGGAACCGCGTTCGGCGTTGACAAGCTGGCTTCTGCGACGCGGCCTGGATGCAGGAGATGACCGCGAGCAGGCGGCCGATCGTGGACTTGCCGCGCGGGCCGTCGTCCATTTTGGCGGCAGCGCTTCAGCGTGCGAGCTCGCCGCTGAGCGGGGGGCCGCGCCGCCTCGTTCTATTCCGGAGGCAATCGGCGGCTTCTCTTTCGCAGTGGCCCCAGGAGCGTACATCTACAGTGGTCCGATTGCTTCGGGGGGCAGGCGCTGCTTGCGGGCGCCCACCTGCATCGTCGTCCTGTGATGGTTGTCCACGAGTTCCCCTGGTTGCTTGTCATGTTGGCGGACGCGCGAGTCGCCGACGCGGAGGAGCAGCGCGCGGCAGCCATGTTCGATGCGAAGTGTTCGCGCTGCTTGCCTGGAGGGTTTGCTCGGCAATTGAAAAAGCCGCGGCTTTTCAAACAGCCAGGGCCGCCTCGCCGCTCGGCCAAGAGCCAAGGGCCCCAGAGACCGAATCCCCCTCTCCAGTAGAGTGCGGGCGTTGTCTTTTTTGTGGGACAGGGCATTTTGCCCTGGGCCTGGGCGGCGGGGTCGCCGTGATGCCTGCAGCGCCGTCTGAGATCGTGTAGTTGATGGCGGTGCTCTTCAAGGCCCTGCGCGACGGTTCACCCGGAACTGGTTCGCGAGCTCGCTGAAGCTACAGACAGTGGACATCGAGTGGAGGCGCAAACGCAACCGAGTTCGAAGCCATGCACGCGGCCAAACTACATAGGCTCAGTTCAGCAGCGGATATGTCCATGGAGAAGCCGCTGCCGCTCACAAAGCTCTCAAGAAAATTCATCGCCCGAATGGGGCCGACACGCCGCCGCATCCCGACGCGGTCAATGCGAAGTTCGCCCGGCCTCTTGGCGCCGATGAAATATTCAGGAAGCAGAAGATCCGCATTGATAAGCAGCGCGGAGGGCACTTCGAGATGACAGATGGATGGTGCCACGAGGACAGCACGCGCCAATCAAAACACCTTCGCCTGCCTTTCCTCCTCCTCCTCCCCCTCCTCTTTTTCCTCTTTCTGTTCCTCCGTTTGTCTCGCTCCTCCCGTTTCTCCCCCCCTTCTCCTGCCCCCCCTCTTTCTCTTCGCCCCCGCCTGATCTCCTCGGCGCTGCCCAGGCAGTCTACATTGAGATGGCAATCGGCAGCAAGTCAGGCGCTGTCAAAGCTCGAAGCGTTTGTCTTCCTATTGGCTCGGATCTTGGAGACTCTCAACCAAGTGGCGCTGCTGCTGATGCTGCCATCGTCGTTCCTGCCCCTGGCGGTGCTGACTGCCCGCGCCGCGGCGTTGCTGAGACTGAGCGCCGAGCGCCGAAGCCGATGTCCTTATTCTTATGCCGGGCATCGGTCGGATAGCGACGTGCCCACCTTCGCCTCGGACAGCGCAGCTGCAGCCGCGGCCTCAGACATTATCCTCTGTCTTCCTCGGCTGCGGCTGGACGCAGGACTGTCTGCAACGAGTCCTTCCGCCAGATTGCTTCTGACTTTGCGAAGCTGGTCGCGCCTTCTGCCCCGGGGCAGGCCGCGCCAGAGTTTCCTGCCAAAGTTAGGTGTTATAATTGTTGCATATCGATGTGCGAGGCGCGCGCCGACGATCTCACCTTGGAGAGGCACGCGCAAATAATTCCATCCTTGAATGACACGATCACTTGGCGCTTCGGCAACTGCGCCGTCGCAGCCAAGTCAGACATCGCACTTGTGTTCTCCGCCAGCGTCGGCGCCGCGGCCAAGCGCGTCTGCGCTTGTCTTTGCGAGTGCGCCGGGCGCTTCGGCCACGAGCCTGCCCGCCGGACTTTCGCCATGCTGGAGTTTGTCGGCCCAGGTGATCCGCCGGGCAATTTCGACGGCGTCGAGCTCAAGATGTCTCGCGAGGAGAGGGCCCGCCAGACTGGAACCTCCCGGACCACCTTTCAATGGGCAGCACCTCGGGCCGCTTCGATTCGTGTCGGAGGACGCGCTGGCCAGCGACTTGTTGCAGCAGTGCGGCGAAGGCACACGGCGCATCTCCATTCGGCGGGTTCTTTTCGATGACGCTTCGTTGGATGTGATTCGGACAGCCAAGTGGGGCCCCAATTTCGAGACTGTCAATGCGTTGGTTGACGCTGTGGCTCTTGCTTTGGGCGCTGGCCGCGGCCTGGCCGGCGTCGGAAAAGGGCGGGGGGCGCGGCAGGGGCAGGGCCAAGAGGGGGCGGGGCGGCCGTGGACGCGGCCAAGAAGGAGTGGGGCGCCACCGTGGCGCAGTCTGCCGAACGCCCGAACGCGCAGGGCTGCATGTTCGAGGCCGAGCTGAAGACCGCCACCGACGCGCTGGGGGTCAGCGACGCCAAGCTTCGCCGCTGGGGGGCCAAGTTCTTGAGCGGCCAGAACTTTGCAGACACGGAGATCGCTGAGGCTGCGGCGGTCTGCAACACCTTGAAGGAGGACCTGAAGTCTGGCAACAAGAAGGCCGCCGCGATCTAGTCCTGGTTCAAAACCTAGTGAGATGACAACGGAAGCTGCTAGGGGCCACGCGGGGGGCATGCCGGCGTAGCGCGCTGCGCTGCCAGTGCCATGAGCGGCAGCCAGCGCACCCGTCCACATTCGTCGCACACTCATCCGACACATTTTCAGATTTCTGAATTTGTTTTCAGATGTATCCTGTTTTGTTGTTTGATTCTACATTCAGTTTTCAGATATCTGATTTCGTCAGATATTTGAATTTCTTGGCTGGCGCCCACCTCGCTCGCTCGCCATATCTGCGCCACCTCCCCCCCCCCCCCCCTCCCCCCCGCCCCCCCCCCCCCCCTTCTCGCTCTCCGCCCCGCCCCCGCGGGGGAAAGGGGTGCTTGGAGGGGGGGGGGGGGGGGGGGCGGAGCGAGGGGGGAGATGGGCGGGGGGTGAGGAGGGGGGGGGGGGGGGGGGGGGAAACAAGAATGGAGGGGGCGTGCGGACCCCTCCGCCTGCTCCTCCTCGTCCTCCTCCTCTCTCCCACCATTGTCCTGGGGGCTCGAAGCTACTCCTCCTTCCCCCTCCTCCCCGTTCCTCCTTCTGGCATTATTCCGGGGGGCTCGATCTCCCCCTCCCCCTCGCCCTCCCAGCGGGCTCCGACTCAGCGGATGGGTTGCGCGCGCTCGCATTCGAGGCGGTCTTTCTGATGGCCAGCAACATTGGAACACAGGTAACTCAATTGCATAATCATCGCCGCCGTCACCGTCGTCGCAACTGCATGGTCGTCGCCGTCGCCGTCGTCGGGGTCGTCGTCGCCGCCGTCGTCGCCCCCCCGTCGCCGTCGCCGCAATAATTTCTTACTGAGGATATCCGAGGACGTCGCCATCGCCATCGGCATTCCGATTTTCACATGGCACCACTTGTAAACGGCCATCGTCGATTCGGCATCTCGCGAGAGCAACCCTGAACGCAGCGGCGCGTGACCATCATCGCCGACATATCCGCGACCATTTTGGCTCAAGCCTGCACGCAGCGAGTTACTTGCAATGAAATCCTGCGCCGCGCTGCTGGCGTTATGGTTGATGCATTGTACTGTTGGCCTCATGTTTGATAGCCTGCACGTCGACGCTGCGCCTCGCCGTCGAGGCGGTTGGCGGCGGCGGCGCGCAGCTGCAGATGCAGAGCCCGATGGCCGAGGGCCACCCCTGAAGTGTCGGAGCTGCGCTGGGGCATCTCGTCGCTTGGTCGGAGGGTGGCCAATCAGCAAGTCAGGTGCAATATCACATGTCCAACGCTGTTGAGGACGGGATTCTCGCTCGCATAGGGAGTGGCCAGAGTGCTCGCGGCGGCCTCATGGCCCTATTGGATCCCATCGGCGTCGCCGCCATGATTTCTGACATTCAGGGGTCTTGGTGACGCGTTGTATTACCCAGCGCGCGGTTGAACTACATGTCCAAGTAAAGACAGCGAGATGTTCGTATACTCTTTGGAGCGGGCGAGTCCAAGGTCAGAGGATTTGGGGCAAATGGGTTCGACAGCCCTGCGCGCGCTGCCAAATCAGCGGAGCGCCCGCATCTGCGAGACAAAACTCTCGTGCAGCTGAAATATACGATACTATTTGTCGTGCGCGAGGATGCTGGCCCAGTCTCTCATTGAGCACAGGTCCAGAGAAGCTGACGCGCGCCCCGATGGCCACATGTCTCAAGAAAGCTCGATCAGACCACGGCGCATGGGAAGCAATACTGGCAGATTTTGAAACACTCGGAAATGACCGGGTCTCGGCTTCTACTGAGCCGCGCGACGTCCATGGCACTCAATGGCAATGCGTACGCAGGTCGTGCAAAGGGGGCGAAGAAGTTCCACGCGTTGAATGGGGTTTCCCCTCGCACTCGTCAAACACAGAAGCATGCTCGGAGTGCTTGGCTAACCGCGCGAAGAGACCGCGCGCCCACCTACAGCCGTCAGCGACGTGGCGAGCTACTGATTGACAGCCGCTGGACATGTACAAAGCTCTACCTAACAAATACCATATCCGCTTGCAGTGAGTTTGTATTTCGCGCTCTTTTTTCCCATTCGATGCAATGCGTATGATGGACTGTAAAGGAGTTGCTTCCATCGTGTACGGAGCGATCCTGCCGGGCGTCTTCAGGGGCCGCCCCTTCGGGGCCAACCAGGCTGCGCGCGTCGGCGCGTTCTGCGATGAAACGGGCGGCCGGTGCAGTGCAAGGCCTGGGTGGACTCGGCTGCCTCGCTTCATCGTGCACCACTGCGCCGCTGACGGCTGGGCCTTTCCTTCACGCAGCAAACATCAAGGCAGCCATGACGGGAGCAGCATCGTTGTTTTTCGAAGAGTTTACGGAGCGACATTTTGCAGGTGGCGCGCATTGCGAGAGAACGATGGCTGCAGTAGCTTTGACCTCCGCGAGTGCTACAAACTAATGGAATCACAGCCTTTGTTAATGTCATCGATGAGCGTCGCTGCGCTGGAGCGCGCGTGCATGAGGTTCGGCCGGGATTTCATGACTTGCAGGGAGCATTGTCGCCAGGCGAATGTGTTGGCCTGGGAAGTGACTCCTAAAGTCCATGAAATGCCACACTTGCCTC